GATAAATCATTCTACTACAAATAGCATAATTTCTTTTTATTTATGCTGTATCGTGTAAAAAAACTGCGAGGCAAAAACCCTGATTGGGCATAGACACCTTCTTATGGGAGTTGTTACCCTTGTCTATATATTAGTATATAGTGTAATGGGAATGGACTTAGAATTCATTTCTGACTTAGGATAAATGTTTTCTACCATCAAATACATATTTTGTGAACATTCAATGAGCCGTACCCCTTTGGGACCACACACCCACCCCTCCCGCTTTGCAATTTTTTTTCTCATTCCATAAATTATATGAAATTACGTGCAACCTATGACATGGAAAGGTCATGATTTAATAACAAGCGTAAAGTCTTCAATGTATCAACCAGATCTTTCCTGGACTTTGCAATATTAAGTACATCCAGGTATTTAATACTGTTCAATATTTGAATGAACATGATGAATTGGTGGTGTTAAACCTATCATTGAAGTGTTCCGTATGTTTGCGAATATCCTTTCAGTCATTTTTGTTAATCTTTAATCAGAGTTGTTGTTTTTACCTTATTTCAACGCAATGATTTATCGAAGTGGCTATTATTTAAATAAGAAGCTTTTTATGTTTATCATCATTACTTCAGTTCTTATTATAGCGAGCTTGACAAGCTGGCCCGAAGCTCGCAAACGAGCTTTACGGTAACGCAAGTACCTGCTAGGTGATGGTTTTGAAAACTTTCGTCCGAAGTACCGAATTGGACACATCGCAACTTTTCGAATTACAAGATAACGATAAAAGCCAATGTACTCTGATTGAAAACGGAAGCGTAGACTGGTGTCCTGCACACTTAGTTGGGAACCATAATAGAAACGAGGAAGCAGAATAAACGAAAGCAGTGTATAAAATACCGAATGACGATTTTAAAACGGAAAATGTAAAATAAAAATGAACGATTATTTTAAACTATTTTACGGTAAAAGAAAATCGAGCTGGCTTTGAGGCTTTGCCTTTTTCATATTATAATCTCAATCTTATCAATGATAGTAATAATTATTTACTGATTTTCTACATCATACTTCAACAGGAACAGCCTGAATTCAGTGAATTGTGCAAATACTTTTAATATGAAATTAGGCAAAGCCTATGAACGGGGAAGTCGGTAAAAAAATCCTTTCATTTTTCCGTTTTAAAGGTGTCATTCGGTAATATATGTACCCACTTCCATTTTCACTCGGAACACCCGACGATTATTAATAATCCGAAAAGTTGAGATTTGTTCCGTTATCGGAATACACGGCCTTTTATCATTGAGTTACATTGTAAATGGCGGCGCCTAACTAGAACTGACACTGAAAATTTCATTGATAGGTATAGAATTCTATATATTTTTTAATTGTTTTTTATTTGAATTTTCTTTTAAATATACATGTGTAGTCTATAGCCGGGCAGGCGAAGCGGACCCGGACTTTGAATTCCCCGTATTAAATGTTTTTTCAAAAGTGTCCTGTGATTTAAATAAAGCTCAAATATGAAACAGACGATGATTTTTATGCTCCCCGAAAAAATTTCGGGGGAGCATATAGTCGCCGCCTTGTCCGTCCGTCCGTCCGGCCGTCCGTCCGTCCGTCCGTCCGTCCCCTTTTCTTGTCCGGGACATAACTTTGAAACAACAAGAGGTATCAACATGAAACTTTGTAGGTAGATAGATCTCATTAAGTAGGTGTGCAGTGCACAAGAACCGTAACTCTGCCTTGCCTAATTTTTGAATTATTCCCCTTTGTTTATTTTTACACTTTGAACTTTGTCCGGGACATAACTCTAAAAGTATAAGAGGTATCAACATGAAACTTTGTAGGTAGATAGATCTCATTGAGTAGAAGTGCAGTGCACAAGAACCGTAACTCTGCCTTGCCTAATTTTTGAATTATTCCCCTTTGTTTATTTTACACTTTGAACTTTGTCCGGGACATAACTCTAAAAGTATAAGAGGTATCAACATGAAACTTTGTAGGTAGATAGATCTCATTGAGTAGAAGTGCAGTGCACAAGAACCGTAACTCTGCCTTGCCTATTTTTGAATTACCCCCCTTTGTTTATTTTACACTTTGAAATTTGTCCGGGACATAACTCTAAAAGTATAAGAGGTATTAACATGAAACTTTGTAGGTAGATAGATCTCATTGAGTAGAAGTGCAGTGCACAAGAACCGTAACTCTGCCTTGCCTAATTTTTTAATTATCCCCCTTTGTTTATTTTACACTTTGAACTTTGTCCGGGACATAACTCTAAAAGTATAAGAGGTATCAACATGAAACTTTGTAGGTAGATAGATCTCATTGAGTAGGTGTGCAGTGCACAAGAACCGTAACTCTGCCTTGCCTTATTTTTGAATTATCCCCCTTTGTTTATTTTACACTTTGAAATTTGTCCGGGACATAACTCTAAAAGTATAAGAGGTATCAACATGAAACTTTGTAGGTAGATAGATCTCATTGAGTAGGTGTGCAGTGCACAAGAACCGTAACTCTGCCTTGTCTAATTTTTGAATTATCCCCCTTTGTTTATTTTACACTTTGAACTTTGTCCAGGACATAACTCTAAAAGTATAAGAGATATCAACATGAAACTTTGTAGGTAGATAGATCTCATTGAGTAGGTGTGCAGTGAACAAGAACCTTAACTCTGCCTTGCCTAATTTTTGAATTATCCCCCTTTGTTTATTTTTACACTTTGAACTTTGTCCGGGACATAACTCTTAATGTATAAGAGATATCAACATGAAACTTTGTAGGTAGATAGATCTCATTGAGTAAGTTTGCAGTGCACAAGAACTGTAACACTGTCTTGCCTACTTTTGGAGTTATTGCCCTTTGTTCATTTTGACACTTTGAACTTTGTCTGGGACATTACTCTAAAATTATAAGAGATATTAACATGAAACTTTGTAGATAGATAGGTCTCATTGGGTGGAAGTGCAGTGCTTAAGAATCATTACTCTGCCTTGCCTTATTTTGAAGTAATTGCCCTTTGTTTATTTTTACTTTTTGACTTTTGTCCTGGACATTACTTTAAAACTATTAGAGATATCAACATGAAACTTTGTAGGTAGCTAGATGTAATTGGATAGAACTGCAACGCTTCAAGAACCTAAACAAAGCCTGGTCTAATTTTGGAGTTATTGCCCTTTGTTCATTTTTTTTATACTTTCCTGTGTCCAAAACCTTCTCGGGGAGCATCACCCGGTTCAACCGGTTCTTGTTCAAAATGGTCCTGCCTAACTAACTAAGAATTTTTCTCAAACTTGTTAGACCAGTCACCATACATGTTATCTGAGAGCGCTTGTATGGCCAATGGCTCAACTTAGACTTTCTGTTTGTAAATAAGTCATAGCTTTGACCCACAGGAACTCGGCATAGTGTTTGGGTAGTGTAGAAACTTTTTACACTATCCCATCACTTTGCTGAGTCCCTGTACTTTGACCCAATGCTTATCTGCCACTCATGGTTCCCATAAAAAAGGTATTTTTCCTCTCTTCAAACTTGTGTAACTGTGTGTACCTTGTGAATTTCCCTAAAAGCTCTAGTTTATTGTTTCAGGCAAGTAAAATATAATACAAAGTAATTTAGAGGATCAAGTGTGAAAAGCATGCAAAGCTTTTTAGTTGGCACTGATTTGACTTGTTGATCAGTCAGGTTTCAGACTGTTACAATTACCTCAAATTTGAAGCTGTGGCACTTGAACCCATAATAACTGAGTAAACACATAAGAACTGAGTAAACATGAACAAGAATAGAGTAAACATGAGTCCAAAATCATTTTAATTATCAGGTTGAAGTGATGACAGAACTATTCAGTAAATACACCTGGAATGTTGATTATATATAGATACATGTACCTGAGCGAATTCATGGCAGCACTTTATAATGCTGGTTACGCTACACAACAGAATCGGTTATGGAGTCTTGATATTTATATAATTGTTATGTACATAACCAAATAAGATTTTGCAAAATAAGATTAATTTATTTGTTACAACTATTACTTATAACTGCATGAGCATTTTATGAAAAATGGCTGTTTTCATTGAAAAGCCTCCTGTTAATAGTTCAAATTGCTATGAAACTATAAAAAAGGCTTCAATACTGTTCAAACGTGGCACAAATGTTGACTTGACCGTAGCTGTCAAAACACATCTATATGAAGTAATGGGTTAAGTGAGGTAATTTTAAATGATTTTCTTTGATTGAAATATAACAAAACAAAACTGTAATGTGAATAGGTAATTGAATGGTGAACTATGATGAATTTTCTACCTATCAGCAGTCAAATTTGAATATCACATATATCAGAACCCCGTTTATATTGTGGTTAAAGACCTTGGAACTCGACATGAGCGTTATAACGGACTGTCAGTGTTGTTCAAATGTTTTCCAGTATTTTGGCTATTTAATTTGATATAAAGACAGTATTTGATATATACATAAAAATAATAGTAACATTCTATTTATTGGTGTTCGGACAATTTTTTTACTCTAAAAATATCTGTAAGTTTTCAATACATATTGGCATCGATAGAGACAGTTAATTTAGTTTGTTGATGTTTTTCTGCTGATCAATAATTGATACGCAATTGAAAAAATAGGTTATTTTGATTAATTATTTAAATGAAAATTCACTAAAAACATATAAGCAGGTGGCCATGTCTAACACTAAGCTGTTGTTATGTAATGGACACTTTTCATAGCAGTGATGACATAATATAGTCAGAAAAAAATCATGCAAAGGTCCTTTAGAAACAGGACACAACATATTTGCATAAACAGAACATTTATTTTACTAAAATTTAAACAGATATGAAAAAGAATTATATACAAAAAAGAGTATTTATCAATATATTGGTGTATTGCCAATATTTGTCAGCCGTTATCCATGTACATGTATCGTCAATATGCTTTGCGCTGAATCAATGACAGCTCTTGGTAAAACGTTGTTTAGGGATTGTTTTTTTTTTTCATTACAGTTAAAGCAGTTTCAGAAAACCGGTAAAGGACCAAAGACTAGAGACGCCACATCAAGTCCAAAGCATAAAATACCAAAAGGGAACAATTCAAATAGTGTCGCTGAAAGAAGAGACAGTGAAAACAAAGACAGTGATCATAAACTTGAAGAGTGTAACTCGGTTACAAGTGTGGATAATACTGAAACTGTGATAAATTCAACACAGGAAACTTCAGTGGAGAGTTCTAGTGTTCAAGAACCAGTGTCTGTGGAAGGAGTGAGTGTTCCAGCTAAAGAAGTGATATTTGTTGATGAAAATAAAGACAATAGAGTTGATAAGGAGACTGAAAAACTGACTGGTGAAGCTGTAAACGAAACACAATATTCCAACAGGGGGAATAATCTGGTAAATTGGTTGTTATTTATTAGCTTAAATGTGTTTGTCTGTTTCTCTAATGATCTCTGTGACATCATCGTTGTTGTTGTTGTTGTCGTCGTCGTGCAAAATCTTTAATCTAGCCCATCATTCAAACATTTTGAAAGGTATCAACACAAAACTTGGAATACTTGCTTATCATGTTACTAGTTGCCATTGTTGACCATGGGGAATAATTCTGAAAGCAATATTTTTGGAGTTATGCCCCTTAACTTAAGCATTTTTAACAGATGTAAGTTAGCATGACATGCGATGCTCTTGTTTGTGACATATGATATGACATATACATGTATATGCATATATTGCTGCAGTAAGTGAATGTTTATCTCTTTATTTTTAGGTAACAGGTCAAGTTCAATATCAAGACTCTGGTTACAGGTGAGATAACTTGATACATTTTTATGTTGTGTAAAGGGGAAATCCTTACAGTAGAACTCAGTTAAATTTTGTGCAACTTTAGTTTGGATTTATAGGAACTTTGCTGAGGTCCAAAAGCATAAACTTATAAAATTTTGAAAATCGTAAAATTTGAAAATAAAAAAAATCATACATCGCTAAACTAGGGCACTTTAAACTGAAAAATAATGAAATTAATAAATGGAAATATCATCAGAATTATTTGGAAATCAATATTTTGGGCGATTTCTAAGCCCGATTTGAATAAAAAGCAATTAAACTTTTAAAAATTAAATTATTCACGGAAAAAATGGAATGAACGAATGATCTGAAATTTTGCTCAAAAGTTTTTAATGGTTAAGATTTGCATGATCATCAATGGTGTAAAAAAAATTCTTGGAAAAAAATATTTTCAGTCCGGTCATGTTAAAAATACCTCAGTGGAGTCGCTACATGCTTGTTCTTCCCTCTATATTATGTCATCTACACACAATGATGTATATTAAAGGCACATTATGCCTCAGAAATAAATACATTTTTACTTCATAAAAAATGGCAAACATGAAATTGTTAATGTTAAAGAATGCTAGATGCTTGATAACTGAAAAAGTAGCGATAAATGTGAAATAGTTTGTCATAAATGTAGCAAAATGTAAACAAAGTAGTTTTTTGACTTCCATACAAAAGACTTAATCACTATAATTGAACTTAATGGTTTAGGTAATTGGTAAAAAATAACTTTTTTGATACTGTAATAGTACACCAAATTTAAAAAAGTTGTAGGAAAAAAATTACCCCCAAAAAACATTTCTGAGGCATACCAATTATGTGCCTTTAAAGTAACAAAAATTTGATATTTAATTAACTTAAAGATGTACTATGCTCTATCTTTGTAAATATAAAATATACTTGTTTTGACTTCACACAAATACTTGTTTTGACTTCACACGAAGTAGATATATGTTATGTATAAAATTCTACACCCCATAGGTGGTCACAATATGAATATATAGCGTCATAACCTGTAATAGAATACATTTTTCCATAATTACATAGTTTACTCATTCTTTTATTCAAATTAAACATATTCGATAAAAAAATGTCATAGATTTCGTAACAATTCTGTGATTCAAATACTTTACTCAAGAATGAGCATAGTATATCTTTAATATCCATGTTTCACTGTCATGACACTGGTTTTGAAATGTTTATGTAAGATTTTATTCTTTCCAGCCACAGTGATAAACGATCAGGTTCCCATCAAATGATGGCCAGGTACTTAATGTTTCTGTTGTTATGCACTGGTGGTAATGTGTTAGTTTTGTAAAGATACGAACAAATTGTTTGACAATTGCATGCAAAATACATATTCTGTGGTAACTTTCTTTTCAAAGGTAGAAAGTTGGAGGCCTGCCGCCTTTTTCTGTTATCTGCTAGTATACTAAAAAAAATTTTTTTCAGTATACAACAGAGGTTTTTACAGGCATTTTTCCCACAGTAAAATTCCTTTTAAATCATTATTTTTTCACTAAAATTAAATTAACATGTTCTGAATGTCTTTTCCTCCCCTTTTGCAAAGGTACTGTGTTATTTTCCCCTTTATTTAAGGGAAAGGCAACTTCCCTTTTCAATGACAAAAAAGCCTTTACTGTTTAGTTCAGATTTCAACTTATAAAACTTGAAAATATTCTTTTCCTAGTGTCACCACGGGTCAGATAATCAGTTTTTGGCAGGTCCTTTTTCTAGTTTCACCACATGTCAGACAGTCTGACCCATTTCCAATGGAATTATGCTGGTTTTCTCCCCAGTTTTTTCCCAATGAATTTTTTTATGCCCCCGCCATGTAATGGCCGGGGCATATAGTGTTACCCTGTTCCGTCCTTCCGTCCTTCCGTCATTCCGTCCTTCCGTCATTCCGTCATCATCAGTTTCCGTTCATTATCTTAGTAACGGTTGCACATATTCAACTCAAATTTGACATATGGATATGTCATGAGAAAATACAGGTCAAGTTTGAATTTGGTCATGGTTCGATGATTTTTGGCAGAGTTATGCCCCTTTTACTTTGAAAATAATATGAAATTTACACTTTCTGTTCATTATCTCCCCAACCGTACAACACATTCAACTCAAATTTGACATATGGATATGTCATGAGAAAATACAGGTCAAGTTCGAATTTTGTCATGATTCGATGATTTTTGGCAGAGTTATTCCCCTTTTACTTTGAAAATAATATGAAATTTTCAGTTTCCGTTCATTATCTCCCCAACGGTACAACACATTCAACTCAAATTTGACATATGGATATGTCATGAGAAAATACAGGTCAAGTTTGAATTTGGTCATGGTTCGATGATTTTTGGCAGAGTTATGCTCCTTTTACTTTGAAAATAATATGAAATTTTCAGTTTCTGTTTATTATCTCCCCAACAGTACAACACATTCAACTCAAATTTGACATATGGATGTTTTTTTAGAATGCCCAGGTCAAGTTCGAATTTAGTCATGGTTCAATAATTTTTGACAGAGTAATGCCCTTTTCACTTTGAAAATAATATGAAATTTACAGTTTCTGTTCATTATCAACCCAACAGTGTTAAATATCCAACTCAAATTTGACATATGGATATGTCAAAGGAATGGGCAGGTCAATTTGGAATTTGGTCATGGTTCGATGATTTTTTGGCAGACTTATGTCCCTTTCACTTTGAAAATAATATAGATACATCTGTAGGAATAGGCAGTTTAAGTTTGAATTTGGTCGTGGTTCAATGATTTTGGACAAACTTATCTTTCTTGAATATTGGAAAAATTTTGAACTTTCAGTTTCAGCACTCATACTTTTGTGGAAATGTATGTAGCCATTATTTTAGCCATTATTTTGGCTACAAATATGAAATATGCTATTTTCAAAAGGTTAAGACTGAATAATTTCAGTGCCTTGAACATTGTATGAAAATGGTTTGTGTTTACATTGAAAAGTTTTAAGGGCTTTGAACTTAAAATGAAAACATTAATTTGTGCAAACAAATTTGGAACTAAATATTATAACATCTGAAATTTTGGCTGCATGCGGGGGCATCCGTGGCATGATGACACATTTCTAGTTTCCTCTAGTGTTTATTGTTTTCGTTTTGCATTCTAAAACTACCAAAGACATTCACTTGAAACTTCACTCATTTCTTCAGTTTCATCAAAATTGTATATCTCTTGCATGAATTTTTACCTATTTCTGCATGGTGTCTGTGACACTGGACTGTCATGTGATAGTATGCTTTCATATGACACTGTGCTGTCATGTGATACTATGCTGTTATGTGACACTGTGTTGCCATGTGATACTGTGCTATCATGTGACATTGTGCTGTCATGTGATACTAATATGTCATGTGATACTATACTGTCATGTGACACTGTGCTGTGATGTGATACTATGCTGTCATGTGATACTATGATGTCATGTGACACTGATTTCTTGTGGTACTGTGTTGTCATGTGACACTTTGATGTCATGTGACATTGTGTTGCCATGTGACACTGTTCATGTGACATTGTGTTGCCAGGTGACACTGTGCTGTAATGTGATATATTCTGTTATCATGTGAGTCCATGAGTGCCTTGTCAAATGATTAATACAATGGTGGGTTCAAACCCCATCAGGGAGAAACCATTATTTCCTTAAGCAAGAAACTTGATAGTCATTGCTTAGTACTGTTTGGTTCCGGGAATGGATTTGAGAGTGTACATACATGTATATTTATAAGCTTATAGCTTCATACATAATTGAACCAAAATGAATTCTTTATAATCTTAACTTTGATGACAATTAGCATGAAATGGAGATGTGCTGCTTCTATAGTCAAGAATTGATGTAAATGTTGACAAGTAACTAAGAGATAATTGTGTTAAAGGCACATTATACCTCAGAAACAAATAAATTTCTACTTCTTCAGGATGGACATGCATGAAGATTTTATGTCATTTAAATAATGGTTTAAGAGAAAGTGAGATGCTTGTTACCTGAAGAAATTATCGATAAATTGTTAAATAATTTTCTCATAAAAGTAGCAAAAAAATGTAAACAAAGTAGTATTTTGACTTCCATACAAAAACACTAAATCACTATAACTGTACTAATTTCCAGACGGCAACAGATGAAAAAGATGGTTCAGGTAATTGGCCAATAAGTAACTTTTTGGATGCTAAAAAAAGTATACCATAATTAAAAAAACTTTTGAGAAATAAATATAATGCATTTCTGAGGCATAATGGGCCTTTAAATATTTGATGTGAAAATTTGTACAATTTCAAACAATATATGAAAAATTCTCAAATAGTTGATTACAGAGGTATAACAGATATTATATGTATCACATACCCATGCCGATTTTGCTACTCCGTAAAAATGGTACATGTATCTCACAGCGGTGCTTATATTTTGATGTTATGTCCATCATTTAAGTTCTATAACATAGTGTAAAGACTCGCAAAATGTTAGCAATACGCTTCAGTTGCGTCACGGAAAAATGATTCTCTTTGTCACTTTAAACAGTCTTTATTGTTGGATAATATTATTTTGGTGTAGGTTCATGACTGACTTTATTGAACTTGTTGAATAAAATAACATTTTGCCCCATAGATGTTCTCATAATATGATTTTATTCAACTTGTTCAATAATTTCAGTATTGAACCTACACTCATTCAATATCCTCTATATAATATACCTCATTAGGTTGTACTTGATTTTATGTTGTTTTGTTTTTTTCAGACCTACTGCCTCTACAGAGAGTCTCCAGCAACTTTCACGACAAATAAATGGAATTTTAGCCGAGGTAAAGTTTTCTGTTTTATTTTTAAATAATATATAAGTACATGCGCATATATTTATCAATATACAGACTGTCTGATTTAACCAACCTATAACCTGCTGCATTTATGTAATGGATTCACCCAGTTTTGAATTTGGAACAGTCTATTCAAAATTGGAGGGATTTTAATAACAAAATACAAATATTGAGTTACCAACTGTATAGAGCTTGGTCACACTGCATTGATGTAGCTTATACATTTAACTTACGATTCCATTCGGTCTAATTAATCATTATTGTTGAAATAAGTAAAAAAAATTTAGAAGTTTGTGGCAAAGGCACACCACCTTCTGTTCAAGCAGGATAAAGGGTTAATGTAATATTTCAATATATGAGCCGCGTCATGACAAAACCAACATAATGGGTTTGCGACAAGCATGGATCCAGACCAGCCTGCGCATCCGCGCAGTCTGATTAGGATCCATGCTGTTCGCTTACCAACTCTATTACAAGTAGAGAAACTGATAGCGAACAGCATGGATCCTGATCAGACTGCGCGGATGCGCAGGCTGGTCTGGATCCTTGCTGGTCGCGAACCCATTATGTTGGTTTTGTCATGACGCGGCTCAATTATATATTTTAGTCACCAGTGGGATTTGAAGCAGAACAGTGTCAGTCAGAGATAGCCGACCTTGAGACCAGGAACCGGGAACTAGCAGCTTTACTAGCCCAGCACGCACAGGCTAATGAACAGTTAAATATACAAAATGAGCAAATTGTAAGATTTCACAATTATAAATCAAAATAAGAACTTGAATTAAATGGTTTCCTAAATTTGGATTTAAGCTTTGGATAAAAGCAGGTACTGTACTGTCTGTTTCAGCAATATTGATAAAATTGATAATTTTTCAGCGATTTAGTATTAAATTGAAGTTGTCTTATACTTAAATAGCATGTCTTAAGCATATTGCTTTCTTATACCAATTTAATATATATTTGATTTAGTTTTAAGCTGGTGCAAATAAGTATTAAGCCAGTTTGAATAAGTTTCAAGCTGGTTCAGATTGGTTTCAAGCTGGCTAAAAAAAGTTTTCTAAGTTTTAATCACAGTCTATGTATAATAAATATGTTTAAATTATTTCCAGAGACAGCATGCAATAAGTGTACAATCTCAACTAGAGAAAGAAAGATCTGAAACACAACAGCGAGTCAATAAAGAACTAGGTCCACTTAAAGAACAGTTACAGGTATGTGAAGTCTATTTTGGATTTAACTCTATACAGGATTGGAGCAGTACCTCTAGACGCTTACAGAAATCATTATCACAAAATTGAAATTTTTTTTTTTTTTGCCGATTCTTACATTTTTAATTCATTATCGTATATAAATTGGGTGTGAAAAGATAAATAAGAAGTTTTTAAAGTTCATTCTGTAAGGTCGAAAGGTGAGATTTTAGCATTTTATCATTCAAGCTCCCTAAATAGATTTTCCAGTCCATTATATTTGATATACATGAATATTGTAGGTAAACAGAAGAATAAAAAAAATGTTCTGGAACAACATATTTCGCTGCTATTTTTAGTTGGTTTGGCAATGATTTCATGCATATCCAACTCACTTCCAATTATATATACTAACAAATTTCTTTCATGTGAGGTATTCTGTATTAAATCATTTTAATCTTTTTTTTCAATTCACAGTCAATAAAATTAATATAGTAGCTTTATATACTTTAAATAATTTTTTTTTTTATCTCAAAGTCCCATTGAATTTAAATGGACAGTTCCAAATAAGAAGAAAAGACAAATCTATTTTACAAATTAAAGGTGTATTTTATTATTTCAGGTACATATACAAACTATAGGTATACTAGTAGCTGAGAAAACAGAATTACAGTCCCAGTTATCACAGTCTCAAAAGATCTCAGAACAGAGAATTGGTAAGTTGCCTTTTACCCTTAGCCACTCCGAATTTCAGTGTCTATTCTAGGATTAAAAAAACTGGTGACTGGGGATTTTTTTGGAAAAGTGAAAATTTATTACATATTTGTTGATCTGTTTCCTTCTTTCTTTATGTAAGATTTTTTCCTTTGCCATCTGAAAAAAGTAGGAGGAATTCTAAAAACTATTAGTGAATCCCCCCACCCATCCCCCCTCCTAGAATAGACACTGAAATTTCATTAAAAATGGCATAACACTTATTATCTTGTCTGTTTTGAAGAAGAAGTTGAACTGTTATGATTGTTGCATCAATGTAATTGTGCAAAAATTTTAACATAACCCATTATTCAAAATTTTAAAAGTTTATCCACATGAAACTTGGAATACTTGGATTCATAATAAGGTGCAGTTGTTCCACAAGGGGCATAATTCTTAAAGCAATATATTTGGAGTTATGTCCCTATTTAAATTTGAATTTAGGTAGGCATTGGCTATTGATCGTTAACACTGCACGGTTGATTATACTATAGAATTACACTTGTCTGATATTCTATGTCTTGTAAATCAGAAATTGTAAAAAGATTTTAACATCTATTGAAACTATAATATCATGGTGAAAATATTGTAACAGGAGAAGTTGAAGATCTGACGGGGCGACTTAAAACATCTCGACAGCGAGTGGCAGATCTTGAACGTAGTTTAGCGACGTCATCAAACTCTAGTCAGAAATTAGAACAGGTAAAATTATAATTATATTCAACATAATCATCATTGTTTGACTCTAGATTAATTTTCCTAATAGGAAAGGATTCAAAATTACTGATGTTTAGTTTATTTTAAACATGTTTATTTAAGTTCTGTTGCAAAACAAGTTCTTGCAACTTATATTAATCACTTTTGAATCCGCTTACTTGAACCAACCAGTACTGGTGTCATATGAAGAAACATTGTTGTGACTCGAGTATGGCTCTTACCCATGATCCCTGGATTGAGAGGCAGACACTTTAACCGCTAGGCCATGGCTCCCCTTAATGCACCATATAAACCTTAAGTATATAGGTATATTTAATGAAGCTTGAAGATATGTTGTATCTTATATGATCCACTCCTGATACACAACAAACATTGGCATCATATGATGAAACATGTTGGTGACTCCATTAGAACTTAAAACTCACAATCTCCTAGCTAATTGGCAGACAATCTACCCAATTAATTTGACCTTTGTGACCTTCAAGTGTCTGCGGCTACAGTGTCCGAAATTCTGATAATCCAGGTGAAGGACGATCTCACATTATCCATTCTTTATTTCACTAAATTTTGTCATTAATGTTTCCTGGTATTTTTTTTTCAGACAAGTAAAGAAAGTGCAAAAGAAATAGACAGATTAAAATTGGAAGTATTCAAATTAAAGTAAGTAGTAAATGCTCCTGGGAAATACATTTTTGAATTTATAAAGAAATAAACTTTTTTAGAAAATTTCTCTGAAAATATAAACTTATGACCTGCTTTAAAGTTGAAAAAATATATTGGTATTGTGATCAAAGTACTGAAAGTATACAGCTAAATATAGCTTAGAATATAGATAAATGCAGCCTAGAATATAGCTAAATATGGCCTAGATTATATCTTTTTTAGTAGAACATAGCCTAGAAAATGGCTAAAAATAACCTAGAATCAGGTCAGTCTGCACAGTTACATGTATAAGCAAGCCAACCTGGCAATTGCTGTCAATAGATTCAATAGATTATTACTTTATAAGGTTTTGAGAAGGTTATTAACTTAGGTGTAATGGACAAATATACATTTTATGGTAAGATTTTAATCTTTAACCTTGAAGTTCCAAATTTCTGTAATGGACATGTCGTGCTCCCAGTTTGGAACTGTTCATTATCAATTTTGAGGGATATCAAGATGAAAATTTAAAGAGTCGGCCAACAGTATACAGCCTTGTCAGATTCCAGGAGATTTCAGGCTGGCCTGGCTCTATACTGGTGGCAAAGACTAATGAGTTTTGGTTCAAGCAGATTAAGAGTTAATGTAAAAAATAATTGTTTGATATTCCAGTAAAGCACAAGAAGAGTTGAAGCAGACTTCATCAGAAGTACAGGAAAAATTCAAGTCAAAGGTAATACATTTACCTATGTAACACCACTTCTTGGTGGGTCACTTGTAAAGAAATTGATAATTACTGGTCAGTTATCCAGGAGAGTCGGATAGGTGAATTTACTACCAGGATATGACCAAAAATGTGTTAAAATTGGCTTCCGAAAATGAAAAAATTTACTTGATTTATATGTAATTTCATTGTTGCTTATTTGTCATTTTCGGCTCAAGTACCACATGTACTTGCCAATATCACAATTCCATAACAATCTGGACAAATCTACACCAACTGTTTTCAAGTGACTGGGGGAATTCAGAAGTGAGAACAGTGACCCCAAAATTTGTTTCACTTAAAATGTTTCTGTTATGATATTCTAACAACATACCAAGTTTAAAGAACTTCTATTGAACAGTTTTAATTTTGCCTATATGTCTATATGAAAACTCCTGAAAACGTCTTTAATTTGCAAAAGAAAGCTAAAGAACAAAATTGATTTATATTGGGAGAACCTTTTATCACATCTTCTTGATGGTCAGGATTATCACCTAAGTCATAAATTAGGTAATATAGAACACATGTCAACAGATCCCTACGTTTCTAGATCCGCGCAGTCTGATCAGGAGCCATGCTGTTCGCTTACCAACTCTATTACAAGTAGAGAAACTTATAGCGAACAGCATGGATCCTGATCAGACTGCACGGATGCGCAGGCTGGTCTGGATCCATGCTGGTTGCAAACGCACTATGTTGGTTTTGTCGAAACGCGGCTCATATATTTTTTCTCTGCAGGCATCAGAGTGCAGTGGTTTACAGCACAGCCTTGACGAGCTCAAGAGGAGATTAGAAATGGCAGAGTTATATAACCAGCAATTGTCCAATCAGAATGAAGCCGGCACGGAGACGTTGAAAATTGTAGAACAGCTTCAACAGGAGCGTGACAGTCTGATGTTACAAGTACAACAGGTCAGTTCGATCATAATTGACCAATCAGACGGCAAGAAAATATGAATTCAAATTAAAAGTTGTTATACAATATTTTAACATAAATTTTTCATCATCTCATCTAGCCATCAGCAGGTGGTTTATGTGTAATTATTTTATATTTTCAGTATGCAGAATCGTTACAGAGAGTCTCGATAGAGAAGGACCAACTTACGGAACAGTATAAACAATACATGGAGCAGTTACAGAATCAAAATTCCAAGCTTACTTCTCAGGTAATACATACAGAGTTCCGGATAACGTGCATATTTGCGTATCAGGTGCCTTGGTATACTTGAAATATGGTCTTATTGGTCTTTCACCACCAGCAGAAGCTGGAATTACCACATGACATACAGCAAGTTATTGTTAGAATTTTTTTGGCGGGAAAGCATTACAGTACCTTAAAACTCTATCTCTCCTAAAAAATGAATTTTTAAAAAAAAACAAAAAACTCATGAAAGCATGCAGTGCCATTAACTCAAAATAAAATTTGTGTTGATACATTTTACATCATTTTGACTAGGTGCTTTGATATATTTCAGATTTCGTCACTTACTGAAGATGGAGATAAAATGGTTACCCAGAATCATACCCTTGAAGCAGCTGTGGTGGAGTTACAAAGAAAACTAGGTAAACTTTCTTATTTCATGCCACACTGACATTGTTTATTGATGTGAATAGGCCCCATTTTGAATTTGAAAAAAATCATGAAAATAAGCAATATTTCTTCTCTGACTTTGGAATTGTGATATTATTGATCTATTGAAATAACAACTGGTACATTTCCTGTTCACTCATTTAGTGTATTGAAATACCTAAAAAGGGTGTCTGTGGTCATGTGGTTATGGTTGTTGACTTCAAACCACTTGTCTTTCACCTCTGCAGGATTGAGCCGGCCTAGCATGGTTGGATTATACATGTGAGAAAGCTATCCAGCATGATTATGGAACGTCGCTAGTTCTACTCAGGTGCCTGTTTGTGCCTGAAATAATGTACTGAGAGGCACCTAAAGTCTTCCTCAATCAGAAAAGCTGAAAAGTCACCATAATGACCTATACTGTGTTGATGCGACATAAAACCCAACAAAAAAAATACGAACTCTGATTGTGCCTTTAATAAGCCAGAGGCACATTTGCCTTGTACACAATCATATAGGTTAAAACGCCCAAGGGACATTGAATTCTTCTATGTAAGAAAGCAATTGAAGTTCGACTTCCATTGTTATGATAATTGTTCCTACCCTAAACATTGGTCTTTGATAGGAGCATTGCATGAGGTTGATCCTAGGACCATCTTCCATGTGTTAAACCGAAAGCCTGAAAAAAAGTTGTTATATGACTCTGTGTCTTAATAATAAACGCCTTATTCCCCAACATACGAACATTTAGAGTGTTGACTGCAAAATTGTTGCAAGTCCTCTTTGATTTCATAAGCTATAGGTATCTGCAGTTTTGGTGTCAACCTTCAATATGTACTGCTTATTGGTTAATTGTAAATTATGTAATGGTAATTTTTATTAAAGATTTGTTTTGTTGTTTATAGAGGATATATCAAGCCAGGGACCAGTGGTGGACGAGACTATACAAGAAGAACTTAAACAAGAGGTGTTAAAATTACAATCTGAATATACGGACCTGTCGGGTCGACACGAGGCACAAATACGTGACAACTCACAGTTGAGCAGGTACGGGATATACAATAACATGTATAATATAGTAACACAAATATATCTGGTTTTCTGTTTTAAATTTTGACTTTTTAAGGAGTAATTGGGTTGTCTCATGGGATTGTTTCGCTTTTAGGCCCCTGACCCTTGCAAAAAGATACAATTATACAAAGTGACAAGTTACACAGTGTTATTGCAGTGTTATTGTAGCTCAAATGTTGTCGTATTTAAGCCAGTCATTTCAGTTATGTTGCAAGAGTACTTTGTTTAAGAGACAGACCACTTGTTGACGCAGACCATTTCACTTATCTGGCTCTATTGATAACATTAAAGGAGCTCCACTGATAATCAAAAGCCTAAAAACACTAAATTTAAAAATGAACATTTTGGTAAAGTTGAATGAGTGAATGATCTGTAACTTTGCACACACATTATTGGTTCACACCTACATCAGATGGTGCAAAAAGTTTGAAAAATATTTCCAGTCACATTATGTCAAAATACCCAGTGCAGTCCCTTTAATTTTACTGTAGTGCCAGATTAGGACCTTGTGAATATTTAATGCAAAACAAGAGGAAAGCAATATACATGTATATATAATTTTGGTACCAGGCTTCTAGAGGAGAAAGAGATCAAGCTGGGAGAGCTGGAAACCAGATTGGAAGAATTAGGAGATTTAGCCGGGGACAAGGCTGAGCTGCTTGAAAATATACAGAGTGACAAGACGGCATTGAGTCGAGCTTTAACACAAAACAGGGACCTTAAACAACAACTAGCAGAACTTCAAAATGGGTTTGTGAAAATGGTAAGGCATAGAATGTTATATATTTTTGGTTTTATGCACAACCTATTGAATACTGATTCTGTTTCTATTATGCGACCAGAAAATTCTTTAATGCTCTAGAATTATGATGGATGGCTAGCAACTTAAGTAGGTTGGAATGGGGTCTAGTTCACTGATACTAAAAATAGAAAAATGGTTTCCAGAGAATAACTAAAGTTAGAAATTGGATATTGTAATCAAACTTTGTATATGGCAAGCTTATATGAAGACCCAGGTTGGGATTGCTTTTGGATCCTGTGTCCAAGGTCAAGGTCACTGTTATAATGATTAGAAAAATGGATTCAAGATTTCAAGACTAACTATTACAATGAATGTCAGTCTTTTACATATGTCCTTGTGTAGGGCCTCTGTGACTTAAGTGCAACTTGGGACTTCCATGCTCATGTGGTTAAGGCTGATGATGTGAAATTCGTAAGGGACTTTGGATTCTTTCATGTGAGGATGCTTTCCAGCTAGCTTACGGATGGTTGGTGATTTTACTTAGGAGCCTGCTTGTACATGAAATAATGCACAAATGTGCACCTGAAGTTTTCATTCATCATTTAAACTGGAAAGTCAGTGTATGACCTTTTGCAATTCAGGTGTGACTTACAATCCAACACAACCACCGATCAATTTATAACTTACTTAAAATCACCTGAAGGGACTTGCTGCTTGATGTCTTCATTCTATTGGCTATCAATTTTTTAAGAACTTATCCAGAAATATCAGCATCCTATTGATTTGGCTACCTTTCATTCATTGCATACAATATTAATTCAGAGCCTCAATAATCAGGTGAGCAATACAAGGGCAATCATGGCCCTCATGTTTTCTAAAATATCAGCATCCTATTGATTTGATTTCAGAGTAATGACAATATGGAGATGATGACCCAGTTACAGACGGAGCAACATTCTAGTCGAGATCTACAAGCAAAACTTGCCCAGCAGGAAGATGAGCTGAAGGATTTCAGAGAAATGGTATGGTAGTGGTTTTTGATTCCTATGAATTGGTAGTTGTGAAAACTTGGTTTTGTTGTACATGTATTCCAAAATATTTTTTAAGATACTGTACAGGTGTTAACAGTGTACCATAAAATGGTTTTTTAGTCAATTGTTGGGCCACTGTTTGGTTCATGATAGTTTTTCTGACATCTACCGTACAGCATGGGTTTTTTCCTGAATCACTTATTAAGGATAGTAATTGACAAAAAAAAAACATTTTGTCTTCAAATGTTTGAAATTGCCATTAAAGGAGATTTAGGTATAATCATGTAAAAATTATTTTGAAGAGAGCTAGTCTAAGTTATAGTACATGTATGTATATTCGTGCAATTTACATCAAAATGAGGCATTATTAAACATGTTTTTGTTGTTGTTTTTTCTGGGCAGCTTTCGGTGAAGGAAGTTGAGCTACAGTCGGCCCAGGAGAATTCTGTAGAAGCGAACAAGGCCAGGTTATTACATGAGCAGATACAGGATAGGCTGAGACATTACGAGGCCCAGGCTCAACTTGTAGAAACTCTACAGAAAGAATTGCATTCCTCTCAGGTACAGTGTACTTCTGTATTTATATCCTACTGAATAATTATGCCAAAGATGGTTTTGCCGATGCCATGAACCCTTGCCACCCGAAATATCTGAAATGGACTTGTGCATCTTTCAATTTGGACAAAACCATTCATCATATTTAGGGAAAATTTCAAAACATTAAGTGACTGAATGTCAAACAGTACAGACCATGATCAGACGGCAGGGATGTGCTGGCCAATCTTGGTCAGAGCTGGTTGAATAGGTACAAATCAGTTGCTGTTAGCAGGTTTAAGGTAAATGTAAATCAAGGGGGACCTGCCCTTTCAGTGCTTTCATGAACAATGCTATAAACTGCTCAAATGTACGATTTTGATTATAAAAAATCATGAGTGAATTCTATGCTCTGAGAAAGCAGTCTGTTTAGCTTACAGAAAGCTGGTGATGCAGCCTGCCTAGTTTTAAAGAATATATTAGCATATCGGTGTGTCTTTCACCACCAGTAAAATCAGGAAAATCATAATATGAATATGTCATTGTATATGACAGTTGAAACCAAACCGTGGTGTCTGTCTCTCCAAAGATTACTGTATCTTTGACCTTTTTTCCAGTCCTTGAGCTATAGACTTAAAACTTGGGAACAGAATACCTTCTTTTGTAGATTTTGACTGTATGTGAAATAGGGGTATCACGTTTATCTTTTTGAACTGGTTCTGGCAGTTTTAACCAAAACTGGTTAGAAAATTAAAATAACCACAAACCGAGGTTATTATAAGACCAATAGACGAAAAAATTTAGATCGGGTATTAACATTACCTTTGTTTCTTTATGACAAGATAAGACAGGTTATTAAGTCACCATTTGAACAGTTAGCATTTTAGCTTACCGTGAAACCCCTTATGTGGAACCATCTTAGGCTCTAAATGACATTTACCTTAAAAGGTCAAATTTTCAAAATTCATATTTTAAGGGCATCGTGTTCTATCATCTATGAACAGATCTTCAGATTATTAAAATATATATGTTTCTATGTGCAGGACATGGTGGATGCATTGACAACACAGAACAGTGAGCTAAGATCTATGTTGATACGTGCTACAGAAACCAAAGCCCTCAATCCAGATTCCTCCGTCGAAAACGCACAGAGAGAAAATGTGGTAAATATTGTCTCTCTTTTTGTACTGCACTGTGGGCTATTTTGTCACTTTTGTTTGATATTATCTACATCATTCTTTTTTAACAACAGCATGTTCTTAAAAGTTGTCATTCTTTGACTGTGGCAGTAAATTACATGCTAGTTTTGTTAGCTCACCAGAACCGAAGGTTCAGGGTGAGCTATTAGTATTGCACCAATTTGTCTTTGTTATTTGTATTAAACTCAAATTGGGAAACTGGATTTATTGTTGATTGTTGTACACTGTGATTTGTATTTATTGTTATGGTTTAAGTCACAAGAGAGAAACTGACACCATGGTTAACTGTTAAAAGACAATGGTTAATATTGAGTGTGTTTCTAAGGTGACTGTTGTACACAGTGATTGATCTTATTGTTGGTGTTCAAGTTAAAATAGAAAGCTGGCACTATAGATAACTGTTGTACACTGTGACCTTACCTTGATATTGGTCCCAGGGTTACAATGATATCTAACACCATGGATATAATGGTTATACACTGTGATTTACCTTTATATTGGTCCTAGGGTCACAATGATATCTTACACCATGGATATAATGGTTATACACTGTGATTTACCTTTATAATGGTCCTAGGGTTACAATGATATCTTACACCTTAGATATAATGGTTATACACTGTGATTTACCTTTATAATGGTCCTAGGGTCACAATGATATCTTACACCATAGATATAATGGTTATACACTGTGATTTACCTTTATATTGGTCCTAGGGTTACAATGATATCTTACACCATAGATATAATGGTTATACACTGTGATTTACCTTTATATTGGTCCTAGGGTTACAATGATATCTTACACCTTAGATATAATGGTTATACACTGTGATTTACCTTTATATTGGTCCTAGGGTCACAATGATATCTTACACCATAGATATAATGGTTATACACTGTGATTTACCTTTATGTTGGTCCTAGGGTTACAATGATATCTTACACCATAGATATAATGGTTATACACTGTGATTTACCTTTATATTGGTCCTAGGGTTACAATGATATCTTACACCATAGATATAATGGTTATACACTGTGATTTACCTTTATATTGGTCCTAGGGTCACAATGATATCTTACACCATAGATATAATGATTATACACTGTGATTTACCTTTATATTGGTCCTAGGGTCACAATGATATCTTACACCATGGATATAATGGTTATACACTGTGATTTACCTTTATATTGGTCCCACGGTAACAAGGATACACGGTGCTACACCCTGATATAACGGTTATACACTGTGATTTCAGATTGACTCGCTGCAGGGTACCATTCAGCAGCTAGAGATAGAGAGGAACCAGCTGATGGACAGTTTAAAGACCCAGAGGGATATGTCGGACAACCTCAGTGTCAAAGTCTCTGATCTGCAAGAAGAAATTGTCCAAAACAGTAAGGGTTTTAGTTTGATATATTGAATGATGATTCCTAAATAACTTTGACCTTAAATATCAGATTTTCAAATTGCAAGAGAAAAATCATCATAATTTACTGTTATTTTATTAAACAGATTTTTGACTTTGGTGTTTTGAAAACATCTACGTTATACATTTTACTTGTTATAGTAAGCTATGGAAATGTTTTATTTTGAAACATTGTTTATTTTTAGATTCATCAAATACAGAGAATGATAAAGTTTCTCGTAAAGATTATGAGAAGATTAAGTATGCCCTGGATATGATACAGGTAAGTTCATGCCTTAGATATAATACAGGTAAGTTCATGCCGTAGATATGATACAGGTAAGTTCATGCCTTAGATATGATACAGGTAAGTTCATGCCGTAGATATAATACAGGTAAGTTCATGCCTTAGATATAATACAGGTAAGTTCATGCCTTAGATATAATACAGGTAAGTTCATGCCTTAGATATAATACAGGTAAGTTCATGCCGTAGATATGATACAGGTAAGTTCATGCCTTAGATATAATACAGGTAAGTTCATGCCTTAGATATGATACAGGTAAGTTCATGCCTTAGATATAATACAGGTAAGTTCATGCCGTAGATATAATACAGGTAAGTTCATGCCTTAGATATAATACAGGTAAGTTCATGCCGTAGATATAATACAGGTAAGTTCATGCCTTAGATATAATACAGGTAAGTTCATGCCGTAGATATGATACAGGTAAGTTCATGCCTTAGATATGATACAGGTAAGTTCATGCCGTAGATATGATACAGGTAAGTTCATGCCGTAGATATAATACAGGTAAGTTCATGCCTTAGATATGATACAGGTAAGTTCATGCCGTAGATATGATACAGGTAAGTTCATGCCTTAGATATAATACAGGTAAGTTCATGCCTTAGATATAATACAGGTAAGTTCATGCCGTAGATATGATACAGGTAAGTTCATGCCGTAGATATGATACAGGTAAGTTCATGCCTTAGATATAATACAGGTAAGTTCATGCCGTAGATATGATACAGGTAAGTTCATGCCTTAGATATAATACAGGTAAGTTCATGCCGTAGATATGATACAGGTAAGTTCATGCCTTAGATATAATACAGGTAAGTTCATGCCGTAGATATGATACAGGTAAGTTCATGCCGTAGATATGATACAGGTAAGTTCATGCCTTAGATATAATACAGGTAAGTTCATGCCGTAGATATGATACAGGTAAGTTCATGCCTTAGATATGATACAGGTAAGTTCATGCCGTAGATATGATACAGGTAAGTTCATGCCTTAGATATAATACAGGTAAGTTCATGCCGTAGATATGATACAGGTAAGTTCATGCCGTAGATATGATACAGGTAAGTTCATGCCTTAGATATGATACAGGTAAGTTCATGCCGTAGATATGATACAGGTAAGTTCATGCCGTAGATATGATACAGGTAAGTTCATGCCGTAGATATAATACAGGTAAGTTCATGCCGTAGATATGATACAGGTAAGTTCATGCCTTAGATATAATACAGGTAAGTTCATGCCTTAGATATAATACAGGTAAGTTCATGCCGTAGATATGATACAGGTAAGTTCATGCCTTAGATATAATACAGGTAAGTTCATGCCGTAGATATGATACAGGTAAGTTCATGCCTTAGATATGATAAAGGTATGTCCATGCCTGTTCCCTTGGGAATTTTGGATTCTTTCATGTGAAGAATTTATCCAGCCATCTTGCACAAAGCTAAGATCTCAATATTGTTAAATATAGGTTAAAAGAACTGGTCTTTAAATTTAGGTTAGTTTAAATATTTGGTATAAAAAATGGAATATGAGAATTATGACCTACTTTTACATAATTATTTTTTGTAATTTGAAAAATAAATTACATCTTGTTAGTATATGAATTTGAATTACATTGAAGAGATTTGAGCTTTACCCTACAAATGATTTCTTATTTTATTTTAAATTAAAGACGTGTAATAAAATGTTTATTGAATTCTATTAATTAGGACAAGTATAATCGTGTGATGAGAGATAAAGCTGACCTCTCTGACAAAGCTGATGAGTTAGAACATCTGGTGCTACAGCTACAAGGCGAGACTGACACTATAGGTAACAGTTAGATACTGTGATTTTTATTTCTTGCTGACATTAAAGGTTACAGTTATACACTGTGGTTTTCATTTCTTGCTGACATTAATGGTAACGGTTATATACTGTGATTTTCATTTATTGCTGACATTAAAGGTAACGGTTACACACTTTGATTTTCATTTCTTGCTGACATTAAAGGTAACATTTGTATACTGTAATTTTCTTTTCTTGCTGACAAAGGTAACGGTTGTATACTGTGTTTTTCATTTCTTGCTGACGTTAAAGGTAACGGTTATATACTGTGATTTTCATTTCTTGCTGACGTTAAAGGTAACGGTTATATACTGTGATTTTCATTTCTTGCTGACGTTAAAGGTAACGGTTATATACTGTGATTTTCATTTCTTGCTGATGCTCAATGTAATGGCAAATCTGACATTGTAGATAACTGTTATACAGTGTGGTTTTTCTATCTTTTCATTAATTTAACTGTCAAAGCAGTGGGAAATTGACACAAAAAATAACAGTTATGCAACATAATTTCTATTTCTGTTTGCTGCTGCTAAAGTTGCAGTGCAAAATTAACACAATAGGTCACTGTTTATTATTGATGATTCAATAGTCGAAGGAAAAACTGACTCTGTAGATAACTGGATTAACATTTGTTTACTTTGGCTGTAGTAGCAACAGAAAACAGACCCTGTAAGTAATGGTTATACACTGTGATTTCTTTCCTACTTTTGTTGGTGCTAGAGTTATAGACATGAACTGTATCTATTCTTGAAAACCATATACTATATGGATAGTATCATACCAATGGATCTGTCACTACAGATAACTGTTGTACCCTGTTGTTTACCTTCACTGTAGATACTAGTGTTATATTTGGAAACCTGTCATAACAGGTAACTGTTATACACTGTGATTTTATTATTTTTACACCAGAAAGTCACACTTTACTGTTACATTACAGGCGAGTATATATCACTATATCACCACCAGAGGGCACTGTTACAGCAGCGGGAATTACAGAAAAATGATTACATTAAACAACTGGCCAAAGATAGAGAGGAGCTGCAGGTAATCTTACTGAAATACAAGTTTTCTTAAATTTTTAATTGGAAATTGTTATATGTGATATTTTTATCTTAATTACTCCTTTATTTTTCCTGACTTTGTGTAATACTCTTATCCCGATATGATTTTGGAAATCAAAATTTAAAATTTCATGAGTATAGGAGCGTCAGTTTGAATTTCTTAGATGTTTGTTAGTATGCAATTAAGTCTGTTAAAGGTCATTGACTTCAGACCACTTGCCCCTCACCACTGTGGGTTCAGATCCAGCAAGAGACTTTGAATTCTTTCATGTGAGGAAGTTATCCAGCTAGCTTGTGGAATGTCAGTGGTTCTATTTAGGTGCCCACTTGTGCCTGAAATAATACACAGATGTACACCAGAGGTCTTCCAGCACCAGTAAAGCTTGAAAGTTGCCATATGATCTTTACTATGTTTATGCAACATAAAACCAAATAAAGAATAAAAGAGAGGAATAATGACCATTTATTTTTGTTATACAGGACAAACTAGGAGAGCTACAGACACTGGTGATGCAGTTGATGGGAGAGAAGAACATGTTACAGAGTTATCATATGGAGTCTGAGAGACCGGTCTCTCCTAACATACACCCTCCTGTAGCCACACAGAAACTTCATAACAAACATGATGGTATGGGAAATATTAATATGTTTTTGTTTTTCAGGAATTTTTGTTGTCATGAATTTAGTATTTATTACAAGATTTTTTTTTAAAGAAAAAACTGGTGCAGCGGGTGGGAGGCAGGGGATAATTGGTCAAGTGTTAAAGGTCATCAACTTCAAGTCACTTTTCCTTCACGGCTATGGGTTCAATTTCTGGCATGGACTAGGGATTTTTCATGTGAGAAATCTATCCAACTTGCTTACAGATGGGCACTTGTTCTACTCTGGAGCCCACTTGTGGCTCCAAATAAAGAAATAACCAAACAGAAAACCAGGTATCAGAAACGAGTACAATGTACTGCCACTCTTTAGTTCATTTGTGTACATATTTGTATTTAAGAAATAGTGTTGCTTTTGTTTGGTGAGAAATTAATTCCTATGCAAGTTCATATCTCTTGAACTGTGAAATTTAAAATGTATCTACAGCATCATAATTGTATATAACTATCCAAGACATGTGAGTACTACATTGATTGTTAAAAAATTCTTCCTTTGAACTGGTGAAATTCCTGGTAATGCAAATACCTGTCCAAGACATGTGAATCCTACCTTGATTGTTGATGAATTCTCCCCAGGAACTGATAAAAATAACTGAAAAAGGTATTGACTACAAATTCATTCTGCACTGTCCCTAAATGTTTTCTAGTTGCAACTTCAGACATGAGTTAACGGCCAAATTTTTGTATGTTAAATACACTGCCGGAGACCAGGGACCTTCACGTATGGCATGAATTTTTAATGGAATTATTTCTCTAAGTTAATGTAGAAACTTTAATGCATGATCTTTTGCAAGCATTGAAAATAATCAAGTGGTGGGATCTGTCCAAGAGTTCTTGTCCTTTATTGTTTGAATTGCATGGTGTAAGTAAGATTACAGATTCATGTGATACACAGTTATTGATTCTCGGATTTCTGTCGTGGATGATGTGGCCAATTATTATGACTGTGTCCTCAAAAGAGTTTACAGCATATAAATAACACATAGGTTTGTGAGTAACAGTAAAAATATCATCACGAGGAAAATAATTTTACCCTAGGGAGGATATTTTTGCTGTTACCCATAATCCTATGTGTTGTTTATTTTATTACCCTGAGCAAGTACTTCATTGGGGCACTGTTTATATTGATTTTTATTCTTTAGATTTTTTAACTGTGAAGAAAGTATTGTACCTATAGATGTAACAGTACAAAATTTTTAGTCACATGGTAGTTTTTGTTGCACTTTAATAACAGTCAGAATAACACTCCTTGGCCTATGGAAAATTAAAATTACAAAAAATGTGAGTGATAATAATAAAAATTAACAAGTGTGATTTTTAGATGTGATAAAATGGAGTTTAACAATGGAATTTGTTTGTTATTTCAGATTGGCCAGATTACACGAGTTCGGAATCGGACACAGAGAGTGAGGTGGAGACGATCGTAGGCGGAAAGGACGACGTTGTAGTGCACAATGGACATGTAGCGATGGATAGTACATCGGACACGAGTGAAATAAACAATACCAATAATTCACTAACCAATCATATAGACAATGCACACGTACATTTAGACTCTCAAACCCAACGTGTGCGAACGCATTCAACACATTCGACACATTCCAAGTCTCCTGACGACAAGGAAGAAGTGACGGCACATAAAATTCTGAATTTACTGACGGAAATCGGACATTCAAACTTGGTGGATAGTGCAAGTTTTATGGAGAAACAGTTTCACCCGTGTAAATATTGTAAGGGAAGGTTACAAATATTATAGTATACAGTATAGCTTGATATAATATTGCAGGGTGGCTGGGTTTTCGGGCTTGTCAGTACATAGAAGGAGATAGTTGGAGTAAAACGCAAAACATATTGGATGCCAATGAAATATATTGATAGGCGTTCATCAGTTTTTGGAGTGGAAAAAATGTGTCATTAGAACTCCTTTAGTTTAACCATCACTATTATCATGTGAGATATTTAACTTTTATGTCTCTACTTTTTCATGTTACTTTAATCATTAAATTCAGATGCCAGTAGCCAATATCATAATTATACTGTTAAAAAAACAACAACAAAAAACAGGATAAACAACAGTGTGTTTTAATTGTGATTTCGATAGACTGTTGAAATGTAAAGGAATTACATTAACACTTTATTACGTATGCTGATACTCTCCTATAAATTAAGATCATAATCTTATATTAGTGTGTATTTTGCCTCACATTTCCTGGATTCAGAGTTGGCTTAAACATATTTATTTAAGCTCGATTACAAAACAAGTTCTTGCAACTTAAATAAGTCACTTTTTCGTCCACTTCCTGGAACCAACCAGTACTTGTGTCATGTGAATCAAACATGGTTAGGGCTCAAACCCATGATCCGTTGGTTGAGATGCAGACACCTTAACCAATAGGCCACCGCTCCCCTTCAGGGTTGAAGTCATACTATGCTCCTCTTACTGTCCTAGTACTGGTTAGATCCAGGAAGAAGTTGCAAAAATCTTGTTTCAACATTAAGTTGAAATAAATTTGTAAAAGTAACATTATGCTCTTTATTTTCATTGTTAAGTTGAGCTGAATAGACTATACATGTTTATTTCATAAGATTGACTGTTATAATGGTGATTTAGCAACAGTTGATATAAGAAAATATTTGGCATAAAATAGAAATGTGCCCTAAAATATAAAAAGATTGTCCTACTCATTTTGTAAATTGAATGTTACAGTAAATTTCTGATGGATATTTATAGAAAAATTTCGTTCATCCACATTAGTTATTTATTATTCATGATAAGTAAATTATAAAACTGAAAGGTATTGTGGAAAAATGAAAATTTATTTTGACTTTCTCCTGATCACTCACTATATACCATTGAATGGGCATAATGTCACTTTAAACTAAGAATATACATTGAAAATTAGCCACAAAAGGCACACATAAAGATTGGCTTACAATCTATATAAATGGCAGTAAAAAAAATATACTTTGTTGAGATACTTAGAGGCCAATGGCAAGATAGATCTCCTTTTCCTACACTGGTCTCTATATATGTTTTTACTGTACTTCTGCGACCATTTTAAGGTTAATTATTCATAGAATAGGAAGTGCTCTTGTATTTGCCCCAGTGTGGGTGTCACACTTGGGTCAAATTTTCACATGCAAGTACATATCTCTAAAATTACTGAAGGGAATAAGTTGCAACTTCACACTATTGTTCTCTGTGATTTTCTAGACATGATGATAACAGAGTTGCAATGAGAATAATCAAGCATGCTGTGTTATGGACCACTCTTGTTATACTTCTTACAAGAGTTCATATTCCTTTAAAATAAGTCTTTCCTGTCAAGATTGACATGTGTTACAAAGATGTTAACAAATTCATCATTCTGCATAGGACAAGTATGTGCAATTTACACATTAGAAAACAAGGCATTTTTTTGTAGCTGCAATTTTAGTAGGCAATTGTGGTGATGTAATTGTTATAACAAAGATGTCTTCCTTAGCATGAATGCTGTTGAGAATATTTGAACCTGAAGAAAATCTTTCAGACTTAGTGAAAGGATATATATTATTTGTGTGAAGATTTCTTAGTAGTTCTCTTTTGTAGTGTTTTTCCAGAGTTCTGAGTGAGGTTAGGTCAGATATGGGTAGGTTGTTCCACACAGGTCCCTGTCTGTGCCAGAAATAATGCACAAAATGGCCTTTAGGATCAATCTCTGCCAATTAAAGGGTATAAATCTATATCTTATGAAATATTTTTATAAAATCATTCAACAGTAGAATTATATTAGTATCATTATTATATGGTTGATTCACAAAAAAGTTTTGACATAGAATGTCTGTGTTATTTAACGCACGAAAGAATAAAATGTTCTGGAACAAAATATTATTGATAATTTAAGTAGAGTTTTATCCGTTAAGCAATAATTTTGTGCATACATCATTAGCTTTTAAGGCAATTATCTACCATGTTTATTTCATACAAGCATTTTGGAAGTATTCTTTTTAAATTCAAACAATAATTTTTAAAGCAGATATTAAAAAAGCTGTTTACTCTTTAAAAGCTGTAACTGAAAACTTGACCAGATTTAAATTTGGTTGTATTGATATACTGTCTGGCAAGATAAATTTGTTGGCTTTATGTTTTACTTACAAGTAACTATCTGGACCAACTGTTCTAAATTAACCTTGCTTAAGATTGTTTGTCATTGACAATACCAGAGTGCAAAGTTTGATAAGTGCTTAAGATGGACTGAGTAGAAACCATTACAAAGATGACAGTGCAAGTTGAAAGATTAAATTTGTTGAGTGGCTAATGATGTCTATGACATCATAGTGATGTCATATAACTATGTGATGTCATATAACTATGTTCATTTGGCGACATTTTTTGAAAGATGACATTTTTTGTAATGTATTGTTTTCAAGGTGTACCTGACAATGTTATGGGCGGAATAAAAATCATAGCAAAAAAAACCATATTTTTTCTAGAAACCTGACAAAATCAGTGAATGAGATGGTAACTTTTTTCCGAAATAGAACTTTCAGATTTTTTCCGCCAGAAATTTCAATTTTAGCAAAAACTTTCATATTTTTTTCTTGCATATATGCAGCAAGACTTACTGTGTAATGTATCTAAGACTTACTGTGTAATGTATCTGTGTGTTATTGATTTTTTTGTTTGTTTTGGCATATCGTGTTGTACTGTATACAGGTGAGTCATTTGTTGATGAAAATCTGTGCAATTTTGTTGTGTATGTTTTAAATTATTGAAAATGTGTATTGTTTATAGATATTCTAAATGTATATGTTAATATAATTATAACATAATTGTGTATTTATATAAATACTGAACTTTTTGTTATACCTTCAATCATGGGAAGAGAGTTAACTGTGTTAAATTGATTATTATAACTTATTCATCTTGAAAAAAAATATAGTAAATAAAATTTATTTTCATGTAGAACTTTCTTCCTTCATTTTTACTTCGTTTTCAATAAATTTGAAAAAACGGTTGCAGGCGCCTATAGAGATGTTTTCCTTGTATAATGTTTTTTAGGATTAAAACCCCTTAAATTTGTGTAATGAATTTGCCCTTCTTTGAGTTTGGAACAGTCCATTTGAAATTTAAGGGATTTCAGTGTCCATGGAAATATAAAAATTGAGCTACGAGCTCCCACATCCTTGTAGTCGGACCGGGCTCAATACTTACTGCAAAGACATTAACAGCATCTAAAAAGGGTTGGTACGCAAGCTTCCATAAAAAAAATCTCCATTTTACCTGGGATATTTTAGGTCCCAGAGTTTGGCACTCTTTGCAGCACTTACTTTCCCTTGAGGGGATAACAGAGTGGAGATTGAATGTTTTGATGGTATGACTTCCCCAGATTATGATCTTATGAGCGTTGGTTGCTTTAAAGAAGGTAAGTTTTATTTTTGTATTAGACATGCTTTCTCCCATTCTCCATCCACGGAGCTCTTCAATCACAAGATCACGTGTCAGTTCTTAAAATAGATTATATTTAAATGGACTATATTAATTATCATAGCAGTCAAAAACTAAATATTTATATCACAGAGAAAGGCTTTCAATGAAAGATTTGGTCTGTAAATAATGTTAAACTAGGTCACATAGTCAAATGAGAAAAGTTTACGGTAATGTAAAACAAACAAGAAAACTATGTCATTAGGTCAAATAGGTAACATTCATGATGATATAGAAGAAAAAAACTAGGTCGCTGGGTCAAATGAAAACATGGTAAAGTAGAACCAAAACCTAGGTCAAATCGGAAACGTCCATGGTAATATGGAACCAAAATAAACTAGGTCAAAAGAAAAATGTATGTAGAACCAAAACTGAGGTCAATATGTCAAGTCTTAGGAAATTCAAATAAAAGATAACATGATGTAAATCCAGATTGTAAAATCAGTTTACAATCTTCATTTTCATAGACAAGACTATTTCAATCAATGTCCTTACCAGATATTTATGTATTGTCCAGGTCAAGCAAATATAACTGGCAAGACGAACTTGTTTGGTATGAGATAAAACACAACACTTAGGTTGAATGAAATAGGGCATTTATTAAATGCCATAAATGACAAATGTTACATAATAACAAACATGACAAATGTTACATAATAACAAACATGGCATGTACATATTTGTATCGAAATAACCAAACTGGGAGGTAAAAACCGCCAGATTATGATAACATTGTAATGTAATTCAAATAGATAACAATCTTAACAAAAGTTATGTAAGATGACAAAGTTGAACCAAAAACCATCTACATAAATAATAATAAAATGGATTGCTGATCAAAAACAATTGACCAGAAAAAAAAAAAATTTCCAAATCGTGGTCGACTCGCCCAGGAAAAACCATAGTTTGGAAACCTGCATGTGCCCTTTTATCTTGTGTCTAGTACCACTTGATGTAGGGATCCATCCTTGGAAAATATTTTAAACATTCTATACAAGAATAAGTGTATTACATATGACTAGATCATAAGTATTTATGACAACAAATAGAACAATATTTGAAAGAGATAATATAACATCGACTAGTTTTATAAATCTTTGCATGAACAATATACATGTATATATATATGTAGTGTATATCATGAATAGTTGCACAAAAAATTTGAGATAAACAATAAGTGAAACAACTGATTCATTAAGAATAAATGAAATGGTATTTATATCAACATCAAAATTTGAAAGAGGAGGATGGAGTTGGAGGAGGTGGATTTTAGTAATACAGAAAGGCGAGAATCATTCCTTGCCAAAATTATTTCTTTGTGATAGATCCAATGTAATCATTTTTAATTAACATCACATGATTTAAGTCTTGATATCGATTGGCTAAGACGTACTTGGCTAAAAACCTGACCCGCAATGGCTAAAACCTGACCCCGTAATATTCTGTACAGTAATGAGAATAGGGACAGACCAATGACATAAATTATTTTATGTGGGCATAAAATCTTTATTTATGTATTGTCCAGGTCAAGCAAATATAACTGGCAAGACGAACTTGTTTGGTATAAGATAAAACACAACACTTAGGTTGAATGAAATAGG